ATAACTACTAGTACCCCAAATAGTTTACAAACTGTTCAAAATATCAAACGCTGTTTTTGACATACAAGAGATGACGTTGAAGTGTTCACGAAAGTACCTGGTTTTCAACATTCTTACAAGAGTAGTATTTTAGAGTAGTTCGTTTTTTCGCAAGTGACCATAGTGTTTCATTTTACTTCATTGTACTTTTTTTAAGCTTATTGCAATGACTTCAACAATTAAAGTGCAGATTCATTTTAAGAAGTATTTAACGCGCTGTAGCGTTGTGCAATTTGCTTCATCACGTAACAAATTAAAATGAAGTCTGACGCAGGTATTTTACGCGAGTCAAAGCCGCTTATATTTGTACTTGAACGTATAAACTCACGGCCAGTAAAGCTTCAATAGCGGCAATTACTTATGCTTAGTGACTGACAAGATTAGGTTCCATTTTAAGTAAAAGCGGATGGCTAATGTCATAAACATGATGGAGGCCTTGAGACACTAACACAGTAATGTATAATAAGTATACATCAGTTAAAAAAAACTTGGAGATAGGTCGACGTCATAGCTGGAAATGACTACTCATTACTGTATACACCAACTCATCGCTCTCAGATAATCTGGCGTTTCCGAATAAGGTAATCAAATCTCTGAGCGTCAAACACGGATGCGGTAAGCTCGCTATGCGCTACCATGGAAGCATTATTTCCCGCTACTGTTCGCCTTGCTCGTTGATATTGGGAGATCTTTCTCTAAAGTAGCAACACACATTAAGGCTAAATGCCCCGACACTAGTACAATTTGTAGCCACCACGTGGCAGCACAAAAATAAGTAAAATTTACTTTACCGATAACGTCTGAACCAATGATCCGATTTTCGAACTGTAAACGGCATTTGACGCCTTTTTAAAATAGAACGCTACGATGAACTTTTTTCAAAAATCTAACAAAAACGCGAATTTGAAATTAGTTCTCAAACTTCGGAGAACAATTTAAAAATTTGGCCTTATAGCGCGATGGCAACATGCTTGCTGAATCTAACGCCGTGACAATCATGCAAATCGGACGAATAGGAGCGTCGTAAACTGAAATTTACGAAAACACCTCGTCCCCCCCACACACACTTCCCCTTCTGCGCCTTTGCGTCGCCATCCCGCCCGTTCTGGGCCCTCTGGCGCAGCGGCCTGGCCAGGCCCGGCGGTTAAAGCGGTGCTACGTCTAAGATTTGCTCTGCAAATAATTCAGAAATTAAAAAAATAACAGTCTCCTTTTTTAGCTTTATGGGTACTGGCCTGCGATGACGCAGTTATGCTCGTATTAAAAAATAACAGAGGTGACACCCTTATGATCATCTTCTTCTCCTCTACTCCAAGGATGGGTTCATGACCTGTTCTGGCTTCT